TAGAAATCCTAAAAAATCGACTTTATGATAAAATTAGAAAAAAACAATAAAAAAATAATAAAAAATCTTTCTAAATCATCTGCTATAAAAAACACAAAAATCATCAAATCAATATTTAATAGTATAAAATTTTATTTTTTTCACCTTTTCTAATTATTTTAAATGCTTAGTATATATTAAATATTAAAAAAAACACCAAAAATCCTGTTATTAACCTAGTTTAGATTACTTTAAACCATGTTTTTTGGACATATCTTCTCTCATCGTTTTTATCGTATAAAAACATTAATAAAAATACGAAATAATAGCCTTTCCTTTATATTTAATGACTTATATTTTACTTTATTTTAGGATAGAATATGAATAAAATAAAAAATAAGTAATTAAAAATTGTCAAAATTAAACTGTTTTCATCAGCCTCTAAATAAAGTTACCTTAATTAGATATAAACATCAAACTGGTATAAAATTTCATATATTAAAAAGAAAAAAATCAATAAAAATATTTTTTTTTATAGACTATTAAATATATCATTATAAATTTTTAATTGAAAGTTCTAAAAAATTTCGATTTTCTAAAAAAGTTATTCTATTTTAGATTCTTAGCAGGTAATTTACTTTTCCAATTCATTAATTTTCTAATTTTCTAAGTTTCCGGAGTTTTCTTATTAAATTTATAAAAAACAATTAATTTATTAGGTTTCATTTTAAGCTTATTAAATTTAAAAAAGACTAATTTAATTTTAAGTTTATTAAACTTGAAAAATACTGGTTTCATTTTCAGTTTTTTAATCTTAAAAAGGACTAATTTCATTTTAATATTTTTAAACTTAAAAAAGACTACAAAAGAGTCCCAAAAAAGTAAAATAAAGGCTTATATGATAGAATTTTTCGCCTAAAAAATCTATAAAGATCACCAGAAAATTATCCATAAAGCAAAATACCGCTAAAAAAACTAATAGACATATTTTTTTCCTTTCTAAACTAAATATTTAATTAAAAAAAATACCCAAAAATTTCTTATTTGTAAAAATTAAATAACAAACAATTAAAAAAATAATAATTAAAATTAAAAAAATCACTATTTTATTTTACTTCTCTTCTTATTTTTTCAGTATTATTTTCTAATATTTTTCTATAAAATTTATATATTCTTCTAAAATTTCCTTTTGTTTCTCCTCATTTTAAAAAACCTAAAAATCCTCTAAAATCCCACTATATTTCTCTCCTAAATCATTCCCAATATGAATACCTTCCAATTCCCAAAAATACTATTTTATTTACACAAATTTCATATGTAATCCTAAAATAGATTACACAAACATCTCTTTTGGGTACTTCCAATACGGTATGCCTTATGCAAATAAAGGTAAAATTCCCATCCTTAATAAATGACATGACAGTAGGTAGCACATCTAAATAAGATATAGACGAAACACCACCAAAACCATATAAATCATTACTTGAAATAATCAGTACACCCTAATTGTCTTCCGAAACACAACCATGATTACAGAAATTATCTTCCCCGTTAAAAGACTAGCCGCCATGATCACCGGAAATGATCAAAAGGGTATCTTGAAGCTCTTTTTATGCAAAAGAAATGATAAATTCAATTAATTTTGGAAATAAAAAGAATAAAAAACTGCAGCAATATGTTTTTTAGAAAATGAATGATTTACATAATCGAATTTATTTGTATAGAAAATTCCTGAAAAAAAATCATCTTTCTTTTATTTAAAAATCTCTCCGAATTTTAGACATTCCCTTACATTCTCAAAATTATAATTCAATTTATCCAATTCATAGTTTTTTTCCAAAAAATCCAGAACTTCTTTTCTATTAAATTTATTATTGTAAAAAAGCCATTCCTATTTTGGATAATTAAACACACTTTAATTTAAAAACAAGCTTTTTTCAACACATAAATTCATTAAAATATGCTCTTCGCCCTAATATACAATTTTTTTATCAAAATAAGCTTCCCCAAGACTATATACAGGATAATAAGTACCTAAAAACTTAATTTTAGTCTCATTTATTATCTTAATCTGTTGATAGAAATTATCTCCTTAAACACATGTACCTAAAAAATTACGAGAAGGCTTTCCTGTTAAATAGCTTTCGTGAATTCCTCCAGATTATCTATAAAAAGGACCTTCTGATTTAAATATAAGTGTATTATTTGCAATTTTTTATTTTAAATAATAGATTTAATCCCATGATAATCCGTCTAAATTCAACCACATAAAATGAGATTTTTTCCATTTATGTTTACATATTTAATAATCAAGAGTATTTGTGTTACTATTCTATTCTTATTTTAAAAAATTATTCCTATTTTATTAACAAAAAGTATTTTTATAGTCTAAAGGCTAAAAAAAGTAATTATCATAAAATAAAAATAAAAGAATGGAAACTAAAATTGATAAAATTAAAGATATAGTATATAATAAATACGATATTTTCATGTTTTTTTATTTAAAAATAATCAAAATAAATAATAATATTATGTATAATTTTAAATAATATATAGAAAATAAAAGGTAGAAAATATATAAATATTATTATTTAATATATATATATATATATATATATATATATATATATATATATATTTATTATTGTTTTTTTATATTATTTAAATGATTTTTATAACAAATATAAATTTTCATCATTAATTATACACTTTTATAAAAAAAATAGTTTTTTTTAATAAATTTAAATATAAATATATTAAATTATAATTAAAATTTATTATATATGTTTTTACATATATATTATTTAAAATTTTTTTTTTTATTTATTTAATTTAAAATTATAATTTTATTTTTTATATTTAAATTTAAATATACTAAATATAATTATATTATATAATATAATTTTTTATATAAATAAACTTTGATTTTTAAAACGCTTAATTAATTCACAAAATATAATTAATAAAAATCATCAAACAAAAAGGAAATATAACTACTCCGTAAAAAATCACTATCTAAGCCACCCAAATAAACAATATTAAAAAAATTTCATTATTAAAAAAGTTCAAATAAACCTAAATAAATGAAACCATGCATTTTAATGTAAAAAAAAGTAAAAGCTTTTAATTATCCTTACTTAATTTTATTTTATTTTATTTTTTTTACGAAATTCTCACTTCAAATAAAGTCTAAGACACATTCATATGCACTATTACGAAATAAAGTACTTTTGTAATACCAAAAATCATTCCCGAATATAAAGGATATTCATCTTAATGCCACCCAATCGATTTATTTACCGAAGAAAGGTTAATGTCTAAAGAAAGAGTACCTTTTAATGCTAAATTAATATATTAAGTATTCTTAAGAACTAAAGCAAAATAAAGACTTTAGAAAATAAAAGAAAATTAATTATTAAATAAAAAGCCATCAAAAATAGATTTTATAACAAAATTAGATAAAAACAATAAAAAAAATATAAAAAATCTTTCTAAATCATCTGCTATATAATAAATAAAAATCATCAAATCAATTGTTAATAGTATAAAAGTTTATTTTTTTTCACCTTTTCTAATTATTTTAAATGCTTAGTATATATTAAATATTAAAAAAAACACCAAAAGTCCAATTATTAATCTAGTTTAGATTACTTTAAACCATGTTTTTTAGACAAATCTTCTCTCATCGTTTTTATCGTATAAAAACATTAATAAAAATACGAAATAATAACCTTTCCTTTATATTTAATGACTTATATTTTACTTTATTTTAGGATAGAATAGAATAAAATAAAA